CTCTCTATGTGACCTAACCACCGCACCCGGTTTATTTTGATGGACCTAATAATATCGAGTTTGTCATACAGGCAGTTAAGTTCGAAATTATAGCGTCTACGCCATAATCCGCCCTCCTGTACTCCTCCATAGATATGCCGGAGGATTTTACGTTCAAAGCATCTTAAACATTCTTCATCGCTCTTTGTCATCGTCCATGTTTCCGACGCGTAGGTGAGGATGGGCTTGATAAGAGTTCTGTATATCACTAGTTTCGTTCTTTTTGTAACTAGGCTTGTTATTAAAAATTGTCTTAATCCATAATAGGCTCTATTTGCCAGATATATCCGTCTGTTAATTTCTGCACTTACTGTATTATTCTGATTAATGTATGAGCCTATGCATATAAACTCTATTACTCTTTCGTAAGTATATGTTACGATTGTTAGATCTTCGGGTTGTGCTGCTTGTATATAATTTTATACTTTCATATACTTCGTCTTACTTCCCAGTTTTTTTTTGTTGCTGCTTCAAGCGCCTTGAATTATTCGACCACGTTCATCTTTCTTCTTGCAATAATGTCGATGTCATTGGCGTACGCTAGTAATTGTACGCTGCGATTAATAATAGTTCCTCTGGTTGTTATTCCAGATTCTCTTATCGCTTTCTCTAGTGCAATATTAAATAGAAGTCATGATAGGATGTCTCCTTATCTGAGACTGGAACGTTCTGGGAACTCCGTTCGGCACTCTAACTTTCTCACTCAACACTAACTCTCAACTCCTGAAAGGATCGCTTTCATAAATTTGACTAAGCGTACTGGGATGCTGAATTCTATCATGGCCTTGTACAGTGCGTTTCTTTTAACACTATCATAGTCAGATCTAAAATCAACTAACAGATGATAAGTATCAATGCCATACCCATATGTTTTTTCCAGAGCTTGCCTAAGAAGGAATATTTGATCGGTCGTTGATCTTTCTTTACGAAACCCACAGTGATATTTACCTATTATGTCTTCATAATATCACGATAGTCGGTCGTAAAGAATATATGCCAATATTTTGTATGTTACGTTTACGAGGGTTATTCCTCTGTAGTTGTCACATATTGTTTGATCTCCTTTCTTGTGGATAGGTACAATTATACCTACATTCCAGTCTTCTGGCAACTTTATTTGCTTCCAGATCAGTTCTGCCAGTCTAGATATAGTATGTCAGGACTTGTTTGAGATGCTTTAAAAGTTCTGAAGGAATGCCATCTGCTCCAGGAGCTGTTTTCTTTCAATTTCTGTATAGCTTGAATGACTTCTACGTCTGTTGGAATGTTAACTTTCTCTCTTTCATCGTCAATGTCTTCGAGTTGGATTTCTAATTCGTGGAGCCCTATCTCACCTCTTATATTTAGCCTTTCCTCGAAGTTTTCTGTCCATCTTTCTAGTATCTGGTCCTGATCACCAATGATCTCCCCTGTTCTATTTCCAACGATTGATAATCTAGGTTTGAATTCTTTCCTGTTCTGGTTAATCCTCTTGTAGAACTTTCGCGTTTCTGCTTGTGCCTTATAGTTTTCTAGATCTTTTAATTGGCTCTCTATCTGCTCTTTCTTCTTTTTTTTTAAGTATGAGGAATGGTGTATGCAATGTAAAATAGCAATTAATTCAATAAAGACACAAGCAATCATATTCAAAAAGAAAAGAAAAAACCCGTAGGAACATCAGTGCAAGAAAAGCCCATCGAATGGAAAAGAGAAGTGAAATATCCAGGAGTCACTACGGACCAAGGCTCACCTTCACGCAACATGTGGACACAACCATCCAAAAACAGCAACAGCCAGAGCAGCAATAAGAGGACTCATTAGAAAAGCAAACTGCTCATAAAGACGAAAATGAGACTGATAAACAACATCGTACTTCCAATAATCACATATGCATCTGTCGCATGGGATACAAAAGCAATTCAAATAAAAAGAAAATACAAGCAGCCCACAATAAAATCCTCAGAAAAGTGGCAAATGTACCCAGATACGTCGCTGAACTCTTTCTGTTTAGAGAACTGCAACAAGTAAGGGTGATAGATAAAATGGCAGAAAAAGCCAGAATTAGGTTTGCAGAATTAAAGCTGCTTAAGAAGTCATTCTTTCGATGGAAGCACAAACGACGCAAAACAGCAAATTCTAACAAACACATAAAGTCTAGATAATTCGTAGCTCTACCAATAATAGAAGCTCCAGCACGCAGCACAGCAAATTTTATTAAATGATTTTTATTTTCAGGACAACCTTAAAAAAATAATAATAATAATAAATAAATAAAGGCTTTGGCCAACAAAAAATCAAAAAATACTAACAAAAAGGCGACAGTCATCAAAAAAAAAAACAATTAACAAAACCCTGGGCACGAAGGGCCCACATCCTCGAACTGGGCCGCAGCCTGGAGCGGAGACTCGAGGCCCGAGCAAGCAATTTCAGTTCGATGATACGTCACTAGAGAAAGCAGGAAAAGAGCGCGTGACGCTAGCTTGCATCGCGAGTTCTTGTACCCAGGACTTTCACACGAAAAGCATTAGGCTAATAGTTGTGCTCCTATCGCGCATCAAAGTGCTATAGGGGAGAAAGGGATGGCCTGGAGCATTGGAGCGCGGTGGAGTGACTCCTGTTTTTAACTCGAGTTAATACACCTCGCTCCAATGAATCGTTACAGCCAAACGTAATTGCGCTCTTTTGAAATAAAATGACAAATATGCCGTATTTCATATAACAGGTCATTGTCAGGGCACAAGCCAATAAAGGTCCAACATACTTTTGTTTTGTGTTAATGCCAATAGAGATTGCAAAATGAAGCTTTTACTGATCTATCATACTGAACACTCGACGGCACTAGAAAACAAGATCCAGAAATGCCAGCTATCGTGGGTATTAACCCAATAGATCACATGCATATAGGTGGCGCTGGCGTCAGGGTTTTGTATTAAAACAACCTTATTTTATTCTGTCATTTATTTACATTGTTTGCTAGTACTCGTTTCCTAGTTGGTATGCAATTTTGTGAGTGATTTAAGTTTTATTAAGTTATTTAGGACATTTTAATTATTTGTACACTTTTACTAAAACATTACAGTATTCCTTACAATTGTTGTGTGCCACAATGCAATTCAGTTTCCAATAAAACTTACGTTTTCGAAAACTTTTCATAAATTTCCCTTGAATAAAGCTTTACAAAAACGATGGTTGATCGCTATCAGGTCTGAAAAAAGTATCAGCAAGCACACAAAAATCTATTCCAGGCACTTTTCAAATGAAAGTTATACCGTTACAAGTTTGGGTATGTTAAAAAATATTTATCCTAATTTTTTGCATTGTCATTGTCTTGTTTCTCTAAGACAATATAAGATCCTTAAAAAAGATGCAGCACCCTAAGTAAATGTACCAAAAAGATGGTTTATAGACTCCAGTGAAGGACTCTAGGAGAAGTGATAGATACATAAAAAGTCATTGTGTAGCAGTATTGCCACCAAACAAACAAAAAGAGCAAAGACTAACAGAATTATTACAAACAGTTAAGAATGATACACAAAAGTGTGATTCAAGAGAGACACCTACTAATGAAAATAAATCAGAGTTCAAAAACATGTATTACAACTCAAACCGTGATAACATGGAATAGAAGTCATTTCTTATGACTTTTTGTCAGAAGAAACATTTTACTGGTTTTTCAAGAAAATTATTTACATGTTTTGTTGAAGAGTTTGGAAAATCATACATTAAAATTCAGAGTGCTCTTTCAGTGGAAAATGAACTGTTAATAACGCTTATGAAATATAGACTTAATTTGTTTTATTCTACATTAGAGCATTTTTTGCAATGGACATTGTAACTTTCTGAAAAATATTTGTAAGTGGACCAAGCATCTTTACGCTTGCTTAAAAAAATGAACTTTTGGAACATTGCAACAACTTCAGAAGACCAGTACAAAATTATTCTGGATCGTACCAAAATACCAATAGATCAAAGCAATGACCCTATTATACAACAGGCAACATTTATTCTACATATTATGGAACCAATAACTTTAAAATACTAATAACATGATCTGAAAAAGGTGAAATTATATATGTAGCTGATGTTTATGGGGGCAGTATTTCAGACTGCAGAAAAATTACAGTAGAATTCGGAATTTTAAGACGTATTGAAGAGGAATTTATTCTAGCGGACAGGTGTTTTGGTATATTATAACTTTTAGAGGAAAAAGGAATATTATTTAAATATTTAGCATTTTAAAAAGGGGCTCAGTTAACAGAAGAAGAAAAAATAAAAAACAAAGGCCATTGCCAATCGTAGAATCATTGTTGAAAAATATTGTTCAATAATATAGGATTGGCAAAAAAACATAAAATACTGAAATAATTTTTTCCAAATTATTCCCATACATGAATAAAATAATTTATAACTGTTTTATGATTTGTAATTTTAAAAATACAATAAGTAACACTTTGTGAAAATTAATTTGTGCCTATATTGATCAATTGAATTCCTGGTGGGACACCATTTATTTTTTTAATAGTTTTACATATTATAATGTTTGTGATTTATTACTAATTATCAACTTTAATTTGTTTAAAAATTTGGAAAATATGACTTTAACAAGATTTAATTTGCGTTATTTCAGTGTTAACTATGAGAGAAAATTACAAAAAAACTCTTTTTTTTCAATGTTGAAATATCCATTATTAAAAAATGTTCAAACTAAAGATTAAATAACTCACTAATTTCACAAATTTTTAACAGTGTGAAACTATGGTTGAAAATCTGCAAAAATGTATTGAAATGTATATCTGAATCTGAGGAATAATATGAGGTTCTGATTTTATACCAAACCTCGCCGTAAGCGCCCCTTACGGATATTTTTTTAACTGACTTATGATATGTGATCTATAGTTTAGAGAATTTGACCACGTTTTTGAAGTATTTCCCAGTTCACCATGTGGCTGAAATTATATCGATAAAAAATAATATTTACTTACATTGTTCAGTCAAATCGGGATGTTTCTCCAAAATACCATAAGCTCCTCCTCTGGGAAACTGTTCGCTAAGTAGACTTAAATCTTCATCTTTGGCGCTATTTATGTCATTGTCGAGCTTCTTTAAATAAGCTTCTGCGTTACCAGCTACCAAATTTGCATGGCACATTCTGTTATCGAAAGATACAATTCTCTTCACGTCGGAATTTATTTTTTGTCCTATTTTACTTAAAGTGTCAACATCGCCAGCTGTGGCCAATTTATTTAACAAGAATCTGAATACTCTGTTTACAGGAATGTTACCACGATCGAGTATTTCAAACGTTACCTTGGACGCTTCCTTTAAACGGTTCTGTTGCAACAATTTTTCTATTAGTGTTGTTAAATCTACTACATTAAGAGCTTCCTTGCTGTTATTTTTTACTTTTAGGGCTTCGTCGACATTTCCCAACTTAAGTTTTTGTCTAAATAGAACTGGAGCTGGAGTAACTTGAGGTTTAGTGGATTGTGGAACTTCAGCAGCTTGGACTGTTGTTTGTGGTACAACAAAAGGAACTTGTCTTCCTTTACTTTGTAAAAAGTCTCCCAATTTTAATAAGAACGGATCTGAAGGAGCCATATCTTCTTCTTGCATTTGAGTCCACAATCCTAGAGCTTTGTCAATGTCGTCCTGCTTGATGTAGCTCAGCAACAATTGATAATAGATATCTGAACGGTCAATATGGTTGAGGTCTTTTGTAGCATCTTTCAATCCTTCCAGCGGTTTAATAAGACCCTCTTGTTGGTATCTTTCACAAGCAGTATTTATTCTTTGAGGCCGTACCTGTAAACCAGGAGTTTCCAAAATTTTTCTAGCTTGTCTAACGCGACCACACTCAACAAACGCAAATACTAAATCATACAGACTGTTAACTTCACCGTGTATTGATGTACTTAAATCCGTGAGTTTTTGAAGCTTCTCGGCGTCTTCATTTTGAATTAGCTGACAGGCGAGTTCATTTTTCCACGGCGTGGCCTTGAAATGATTAACACACCATTCAAATTTTTCCAAAGCACTTTCCAAATCTTTTTTTATTAGACGTACTTTTATTAAAGGTCCCAGAAGTACATTGCTGACTTCAATGAACTCTTTTTTGACTAGTGTATTAAACAACGTATCCAATTCTTCTACTTTTCCTTCCTCTGCAAGAGTATTCAATAATCTCCAAACCAGAGAAGTGTATGAGAATCCCTTGTCGTCGTCTTTTTTATCCTGTGGGGTATTTTCTAACAGCTTAATACACTCATCGAACTGGCCTGATTTGATATATAAGTGTGCGAATCTCAGAATTTTGCTGCTATCTAAGGCAAATTCAGACCCTTGCTTTTCTCTAACCAAGTTATAGTATTCCAGAGATTTTTCTAAATTACCGTGATAAGCATAGAGGTCAAACAGTTGGGCATATAAACCAGGTGTGAATACAAAATCTGTTTGATTCAAATCTTGCACAAGCTTTTCGGTTTTCTCTAGATCCTTGGCTCTATAATACAGAGTGAACAACTGTCTCTTTAGTCCTTTGGTTTCTTGATTCTTTGCTGTTAGATTTTGTATCAATCTTTCTAGTTGAGGAATATTCATTTGGTGTGATGGAACATAGCTTGGAGGTTGCCGTTGTATTGGTACAGGCGTCAGTTCCCCAGAACTTAGTCTTCCTAATAACTGTGCAATCTGATCAGTCATCTTCTCTCCTAACTTATCTTCTATTTTTTCGGCTGTTGGCGTGGATATACTTAGACCTTGTTCACACAACGCTTGTAATACACTTTCAATTTTCTCCACAAATGCTCTGCTTTTTGAAGTTAAATCGAGGACGAAGTTTCCCACCAGTTCCGCTTTGTTAACTCCTTCATTCGCTTCTTCTTCGTCATCTTCGTTTTTCTGCGCAGTTTTCTTACGATCTACGTTTTCAAACACGGTTCTCACTATAGCAACATAAGACTTTAGATCGTTCGTTTTATAAAATGCATTCGTAAGAGGCCTCTTAGTCATATCGGGATTGTAGTAAGCTTGTATCGTGGTAGCAATAGTTGCGGCTTCTTTAATCTCATTACGAAGTAATAAGGAAATAACTAAACTAGACGCTGCACTACCAATTGAAATGTTTCCATCTCGAAGTAGAGCTAAAATTTCACTGCTATTTCCTTTCAGATTTGGTATAACGTATTCCCTGATAGTTTCATTATTTGGAAAAACGTTGAAATCATGCATTTTCTGTAAAATATCTACAATAGCTTTATTATCGTTGGCTTTGGATATAAATAGTGGCCAGAAAAAGTGTTGTCTGACTGTAACACCTCGTTTTTGAAGCTCTTCAAGCAGTGGATATGCCAGTTTTTCATTTCCCAGCTGAAGACTCATTTCAGCTGCAAGCAGAAAAGCTCGATCGTACATCTGTTCTTTTTCCATTATATCGCAGTACTTCAAGAGAACGTTTAAAGGACGATTGGCTTTAACTAGTTGTCTAATAAAGAAATAACCCGTTGGAGCGGGTGAACCATCTTCGCGAGTAATTCGAGTCATTGATTTTAGTACTTCAAACCCAGCTTCTTCTTCACCTTTGTTGATCAACCTTAAAGTGATATTAACAGCATCTTGGTTGTAGCCAATTGCTTTGCGCACCTTTCCGAGGATCGCAGGGACATGTTGTTTATGTCCATTGACAGCTAAAGCGTAGATGATGTCCAAATAATCTTTATCTAATAGGAATATTTCTTTTGATTCGCATTCTTCAAGCAATTTCAAAATGGTCTCGATATCTCCTTTGGCCGCATATCCACTTACTAAAGTGGTGTAACTGTCCGCACTCGGTTCCAAGCCAGCTTGAGTCATAACATTTATTATGCCTTGAGCCGAATCCATGTCTCTATAAAATAAATAAATAATAATAAATAGGAAATTTAAAAGTATGCCTTTCTTTGTTATTTTGCCTCATCAAAACATGTTTATGTGGAGTGTTAATAAAAGTGTTCTGTTTACTTCAGTACTCTTAATGTGTTCTAAAACTGTTTTGTAAGTCATAGCTTTGTGAATACTACATAAACAGCAGATTAAAAGATATAGGGTTTAATATCTCACTTTCAAATGAAAGTGAGATACACTAAATGAAAAACCAAAAAATACGTTCAATATTTTTCAAAACTCTATCGAATGACATCAAATGTGGCCTTGCACACCCACCCCCTGGGGGTGTGGCGGAGAGAAATTTTAAAATTGTAAATGAAAAACCTTATTTTTTATTGCAGATTAGGATTCTACCTGAAAAAATAAACAAGTTTTACATTGTAATGACGTCATCCTAGGAAGGTTGTTCACCCTGTATATTAGATATTTCTTTGTTATTGAAGAATCCTCTATTTAGTCCTTGGAATAGTTTTCCTGTATTTCCTAATCTGTTTTGTTTCTTCTATTGTTTATTACCATTCTCAAGTATTTATGAGTACTTACCTGTATTAATTGTCTATGTTATATATCTACTTTTATTGGGTCTTCAAGCCCAAGGTTCAAGCTTTGAAGAAGTCAAACAAAAATTGTAAGCTGCCCTGAATTATTTGATGTTCAATTATTATAAGGAAACTTCGCTAAGACTAAATCTAACCAAAACTCAGGTCTGGGCTTTCCACCTTCAGTCCCGACCGGCCAAAGGAAACTCAACATCACCTAGAATAACACCTTGCTGGAGCACACTGAAAAGCCAATATACCTCCGAATCACACTAAACCACTCATTAACATACATGTTCCACTATGAAAAACCCAAAAGAAGGTAGATGTGCGCAACAACATTTTAAGGAAACTTAGCAATAGTAAATGGAGTGTCAAACCCACAGTGTAAAAGATCAACAGCGCAGGCACTATGTTTCTCAACGCCGGAATACGCATGCCCGGTATGGAAGAGATTTGATCATGCCAAGAAAGTAAATGTCAGTCTAAACGAAACTTGCAGACTTACTAATGGCTGTACGAGGCTAACCCTTCTGGATAAACTGTATAAAGCTTCAGGCCTCTAGGATCCCGTCTCTCATAGAATGGCCCGGGAATTCACTGAAACATACAAACAAACCTTCAACAACCACCACCTCCTTTTGGTCACGAACCATATCCTGGCAAAGTCAAAAAAGTGTTTCCTTAGCGCCTTGCTAGATGAACCACCACCCTATTATCCTGTGACAGAAACTCCACAAAGCAGGATTTGAAGTGACTCGTCGATGTGGCGCATGCTGAACAATGTAAGAACTGGCGTAGCAGCAACCAAGTCAAACCTTATTAAATTGGGTCTGCTGAACGGGAATGACAAGAGTGACTGTGGAGCAATACAGAACATGGAAGATCTACTACCACTCTGGATGACTTATGGACAGACAACCAACTAGAGTAAGGCATAACCCAATACTGGGCTCAGAAACTATAGTTTTCTGAACAGGAAAAGGTAAAGTAAGTATTGGGTCTTCCGCCTTTTCTTTTCTCGTTATTTTTATTATTTGTGTTTTTTCTTTATTTACATTTAGATTGTATTAGCTTCCTTTGGAGTTATATTTTCGCAAGTTGAACTTCAGTTTTCAAATGTTTGCAAAAAATATGCAGATATCTGCATTTATTATTTACTTTTTAGTCCATCCAATGGCATATTTTTTAAATTATGTTTAATGAAGAAATCGAACATGTTAAGTCAAACTGGTAGCTTAATTAAGAAAAGTTTGTCCACAAAAGTCTAAAATATCCCTATTAGTAGAAGATTCCACTGCATGATCACTACGTTCATAACATAGATCATCAAAACACGAGGTATCAAAGATAAAGTAAAATAAAGTTATGGTGCAACGACACTGATTTGACTAGTGATAATATGTATATTATTATAAATCTATCGACGCATGCTTTAAAAACTCATACAACTGACACTAGCCATGTCAAATCAAACCAGTGGCGTTCCGGGCTAGCTGTCTTTTATTTTATCTTCGATACCTCGCGTTGTTAACAGTTGTCAACCCTAATTTTCGATAATTTTTTCTCAGGCAAAATTATTTCATCATATTAAGAAAAAAATTAGCTTTAATTTGATATTAAAAACATGCATATAGGTAATGAGCACCATATTTTATTTAAAAAATAAATTAACGAAATGAAATTTTTGTCAAAAATAATTACTATATGAGTATGTAAAAATGTGAGTTTGATTAACTGTGTTATGAACATGGTGATCCTGTAGTGGGATCTTAGGCTATATGTACGAGATACACAGTAATCTAAAAGTAATTTATTTAATTATAATATGTAATTTATGTATATAGCCAAGATTATTGAGAACACCCTAACATACTGTAATACAAGGATTCTTTAAATGATTATCAGCTTTATATGATTAAATACTCACCCAGCTTTAGAGTGTCCAACAATAAGTGCATTAAAGACATTCTCATTGACTGACATTTGTTTTTCTCTCATGAACTCCAATATTTTTGTTGCTCCTTCTATATCACCATCTTGACAATATCGAGCTATAAGTCTTTGGTATGTAACTCTATTTGGTTCGATACCTTTATTTTCTAGTTCACTCAAAAATTCAGTGGGTGAAAATGGATGTTCATTTTCTAAAATAATAACAATGTTTTAGAAATAGCAGAACTGTTATTATTTAATCTATACCTAGCTACAGCCATTTAATCAATCTTATATTATTTCCATATATTTTATCTGTTAATATAGTACAAGTAAGAAATATAGTAGAACAATCCTATTTGTAGGTTTTGATAGTTTTGCTTTAAGCTGTAGTGTGGCGGCTGTTTTTTTCTGGTAATTAAATATGTGATTAAAAATATTTATTTTTTACTTATACGATTAAGGTAGGACATGCCATATGTGCTAATTTTGATCATTTTTTATTTACAGTTAACCTTATAGAAACTAGTGATGAGAAGGTCACGAATGATCCATTCACAAATATTGAATCCTTTTGAAGACCTGTGATTGATACAATCACGTTCTGTGACCCTATCGTTCGAATAACCCTATGAATGACGCTGTCTACTGTTTATGAATCAATGTTTCTAATGAATGAATCTCTATGAACACATCCTGCATTATCATTATTTCATATACTCTCAGGAAGATTCATAAACAATATTAAACTCTATGCACTTGGCATTTACACAACAAATTTAATTAGTCATTCATATGAACGGATCTTGGATCCGGATGACCTGTGTCACCAAAACAAACCAGGTCTTTTCATCCTTAATAGAGATCCTCTCTTACCCATGCTTGCATTGATAACTGATGTAGAATAAATAGCCTTTGTAATGACTCTTATTATTGTAAGAATTAATGATATTAAAAGAACTATATAAAAACATAGTTAAATCTAAAATTTAGAAGTATACCGTTTAAAATTTTTAAAATTTAGCAAAAAATACAAGCATGTCCTGCTCTTTTTTTTATCTCTTCTTCAAGTGCCATCTCCTGAAGATTGGCTATAAGCATTGCAAATTTGTCGACATTTAGAAAAATTAATTTTTTTAAATGTCATCTTTTTATTATAACACTTGTAACTGGTAGGAATAATAATAATTGCACAACACAACAATTAACATTTCCTTTTGTACTTCTTCTTTAATTTCTGTCTCATCATCATTCAATTTTAATAATAAATTTATTTCGATCATTAATGTGGAAGTGCCCAATCTTCTTAAACTCAGTATTCTTTAACACCTTCATTACGAAAAATTCAATTATTATGTTGTATGCTTACCAGTTGTAATTGACTGATACTATACAATTCTGTATTTAAATACACCAGTCGCAATAGACTGGTAGTTCTTTAGAAATTTGAGTGTGATCTATGTCTAAATTTTTTAATATTTATGTGTAGTAATAGTTTTATACATACAAGGAATATACAAACTTGCTGGAAACTGTATCAGTACCAGGCTATTCCTTTTGGTAAAGCAAAAACTGAAATTTTTAAGAAGTGCATAATATTATATAATTTAATTGTGTTTAAAATTAAGACATGGTAAACATAAAGCAGGATTTTTCTCACATATGCTACAAGGATGTAGTAACTTTAATGACCTTTTTATCAGTTTCTTTACTTTTCATTGTTTCCCTAAGCTTCTTGTAACATTCCATACAATTTCGCCTTTTTTTTTGGGTACCAGGTACTTCGGGTTTGTTTTCTTGAAACTGATTTGATATTCGTCATTATCTGAGTTAGTTGAACATTCATAAGGAGCGTAATTAGAATCACAATCCAAATTGTCGCAAAATGGTTCTTCCTCTCATTTGCTCAAAGTATTTATAATTGTTTCTTGGTGCAGTCTAATTTCTGATTGGGGTCTACACAACTACCACTTGTAGTTGCATTTTGCAACTCTAAATTTACTAATTTAACAGTACTACTCATTTTACCCAATTCTTATGCTTATTTTTTAGAATTACTCAATTCTTATTCTTATTTTAAACACTATTACAGCTCGACCCAGATAACTAATCTAAACTGGTAATTACAAATGAAATTACTTACCAGATCAATTCATCTGGGAATCCAACAATGAAAAATAAATAACTTGTATGCATTACCACTTGAATACAACTGGTACTAAATTATTTCTCTATTAGATAGATCTCTTTCAGATAATAATATAGGTACCTATAATGTTAGTTTTTACCAACGCCTTTTGTTTGTATGTTACTCGCCAGATGGAAATAAATGTATTTATTTTTAGCCGTAATTTCTGCAAACCTAGTTACCAGTCTTTTTCAACTAGTGGCGCAGCGAAGGTGTTAGCTTTGATCACTTTGGGGATTCTTTTCTGCCACTCCTTTTTGGTAATACTAATACTTCTTTTTTAATTCTCTCAATTCCTTCTTATATGATTTAGGAAATGTATTTACATTTTTTTTATTTATTTATTAACGGATATACCATTTACATTGGAACAAAATATAATATATAAAATTTTACAAATTAAGCATAACATTGGAAATAAACATTTTGCCAATTCAGAGAAACCATTTTTAAGTGATCAGCTATCATACTATAACTGTATGGAACAGAGAGGTCATGAAAAGCACTACAGTAATGACAGTGTTAACCAAATTTATGCTGACCACGATCAAGCTTGTCTATAGATGTTTGATAGTAAGGTCCCCATACAACTATTGCATATTCTAGTCTGGAGAGAATGAGACTATTAAAAAGCATTGGTAAAACAAAACATGAAAATTGAGAAGTGTTTCTAGTTATAAACCCTAATTGCTTAAATGCACTGTTTACTGTGACCTCTAGATGATTAAGCAATGCTAATTTACAATCAAAATAAGCACCTAAATCCTTAATACAGTCATGCCTAGACAGCTGAGTGTTATCACTGAATAGCTTTTGTACTTTTTAGATTGTTAGAAACGGAGCTATTAGTTAAAATTAAATTTACTTTTTAATTCATATCTAAACTCTTTGGTAGTGTCACCATTAATGCTACTACTTACCTAAATAAACTCTTAAAAGAGCATTATAGTGTGATATATCCATTGGTACATTTAGTTTTATTCAATGTATTCCATATTTCTTGAACTAGCTTTGTCCTTATTTCTGGCAATTCATCAGGTACTAGGTTACCACAACATCGTATGACCAACAAAGATTGTGAGCTGGTAGCAGATCTAGTCTGTCTAATCTCTTCAAGAACATCTTCAATGTCTCTTCTAGATATGCGGCCTGATTTTCTGTTATTAAAAAATAGAATTAGATACTTAAAAGTTACCAAAAATACTGCTTTGACCAATACCAATAATTTGAAAGATACAAAGCAATAAGTTCAGATAAAGGAAGAGAAGACAAAACAAAATATAAAATACCTGACATCTTGATCAATTCTTCGTAAACTTGTTTCTAAATTTTGATCTTGTAATGTGGAAGCTTGTGTAGCGAAGTTACTAAAAAAATAGAAACAATTATTGTTGCATCACTTACAGAATAGGTACACAACTACTTACCTGGGTAGAACACCACACAGACATTGAGAAGTGTTTACAAAATTTCCGTCAAATTCTCTAGGTGTGTTAATTACGACATTTCTTGCGAATCCAGCAATGTACCTCACAAATTTCGAAGATCTTAGAATCGACGCCATTTCGGACTTTTCGAGACTTTTTTCATTGAATTGAGGTTATGAAGGAAAGAAAACCCGCATGAGTGATCAATGTGTGATAACTAAATCTAGAGGAGGAACAATACATTGTAGCAGTTATTGTTCCGTAATAACCGAAATGTTTGTTACAAAGGATTTTTCCGTAAACATATTGATGAAATTAGCCAAACTATTATTTTCACTATTTACTATTTTTCATGGGAATTAACCACAATTTCAGTTGAAAATAGTGTATTTTGACGGTAATGATTCCAGTGATAACTCAGATAACTTTCGATATCAAACCAAAATGATACAAAACATCATTATTATATTTATATAATAATAATTATTATTATATAATTATACATAATTACAATCATAAAATGTTAATGTTAAAAGCTTCAATATACATTAAAACCACAAATAAGAATAAATGTTGTGATTATACACCATCAGATAGATATTGCTGTATCAATTATTAGGATATTACGATTTTACTATCTTGAAGTAAGTTTTATACTAATATGTTACTTTAATTTGAATTTAACATTCAAATGTAAATATTCAATTTGAATTTAACATTCAAATTAAATATTTACATAAAAAAGAAAGTTAAGATTTGGTTTCACGTATAGTGTGTCTACAATTCGCTCATACGTATTTCGTCCTTTCAGGAATCGTCAGACCCACTCAATAAGAAGCCTAACGTTTGTATATTCGATTGGTGTCTTGAGTCTAAAATAGTAGTAAGCCTGTCTGGTGATTTCCAGGTGCCTTGTGTATACCTTTTCAAGCGAAGTTAAAATTGTATAATAGATTAAAAAAACTACTATGAAAAAGAAGTCATTTTTGAAATTAGAGCATTAGAAATTCGTTAAAATTCGTTATTTCTTAAGCACCAATTTTTTTCACTTTGTTGGGCTATGTCATCATTCCTGTTTCATACCATGCAAGTTAAACATTTACTTTGTATACCAGTTCTTCCTTTGACGAAATTTTTAGTTTTTTATTGCCTCTTATAAAATGAATGTATTTGCTTTGTTGTGTAGTTGCAGCAATCTTCTGATTCATCTATTGTTTCTTCATTTGGCTATGTAAATACATTTCGACATATCAGGACATTGATTAATTTCGTTATTGAATAGACTTCTCGGTTACTTGACAGTCAAAAGGATTAAATTTTTCTGAGAAATAAACTTCGAATCTTGACCATTGTGTTTCGTTCTGTTTATTGCCATGAACGCAATACATAATAATCATTTGTGGGGAGTATTATATAACCTCTTATCGATGTATAATTTCTTCCAAACTTCCAAATTTCATTTTTAAATTTAGTTCTCTTCTTCTTCTTCTTTTGGGCTATGTCCTAGACAATTTACCCAGTTTACTTGGGGGTAGACACTTTTTGTCTTGTTTCAGCAATCAGTATCCACCTACATTTATATTCTTCCTTTGTTTGTTTTGGATTATTCTACATGTATACTTGTGTTGGTATTTTTCTTCTTTATATTCTTCACAGGCTAAAATTTTGGTAAGAACACAACAAAGGTATAAGCTTTTCTCGCTCGGGGGTAGCCTCCAAGATTTGCACACACCAGAAATGCTACCGACGGATATAGTAGAAGCACCCAGGACTGAAAGAAGTAAGATCATAGTTTACAATTTAATATTGCAGGTAGAAATAAAGTTGCATAAGGTGTTAATTGTATTTTCATTAATATTTGTGAGGATTGTGCAAATATTTATGAGAGTGGGAAGTTTAGTTTTAGCTAATTCGGCATACAAGTCGAAATGTGGGTTTTGGTTTAAGCGACATTCTAATAAAATATGGTTTCAGCCTCCCACTTGGCCACATTCGCAATAAGGATCATCTTTGACTCCAATTCTAAATATATGAAGAGGGGATGAGCAATGACCTGTTCTCATACGGATGACTGTAGTTAAATGTCTCCTACTGATATATGCGAATTTATTGAACCATGGTAGCGTGTGGATTCGGTTATTAATTTTGAAATAGAATGAATTACTTGTGCCATAATCTTCGTACCATTCAGCTGCCCAGTTAGACCAAATCTCTCTTTTTAAGTAGGGTGTAAACTTTGAAAACTGTAGCTTGATATTCATGGGAATATTCAGGGAACGACCTATATTGGCAAGTTGGTCAGCCTTGTAGTTTCCAGTAATACCAGTGTGTCCTGGGATCCATGCTAGTAAGATTTTGATATTATTGTTCCTTGCTAGGATAATTCCTCTTTTCGTTAAATACGATATATGTTCTGTGTCTTTAGAAAACCCTGTTTTTTTTTTATTTTTTGTAGTGCACTTTTGGAGTCAGAAAAGATAATGGCTTCTTTGATATTTTGTTCTAGTATAATTTGAACTGCATGATTGATCGCGATTACCTCTGCTGTACATATTTAAGTATGATTGGGTAGTTTAGATGAAAATGAATAGTTTATATCTGGGGAAAAAACTCCAAAACCCTTATTTCCCATTGTGTCCGTTGAGCCGTCTGTAAAGAATTTTTTGTATGAATGGAATTTTTTAATTAGTTCAAAAAATTCATAAGCTTGAATTCATTTTTTGTAGTGTTTTCATCCAGAATTCCTATTGGTTGAAGTTGTAGTTCCAGTTAATACTCATGGCAAGGAAGAAGTTTACTGGAATATAAGTTCTGCAAATAAGGTTGGATTTTTCTGAGTTGTTATCAATATGGGTTTTTCCTTATTTCTCCAGTATTTATTATCCATATTACAAAATGCTTCTAATTCAACGATTGATTGAATGACAGGGTTGTTTTTAACACTTGGGTTTTTTAGCAAAAATTTTGTTGTGAGCCATTATCTTTTGTATTTTAATGGCAGTTCTCCATATTCTGATAACAAGGCTTGGATTGGAGTTGACTTCATGCATCCTGTGATAATCCGGATACTTTGATAATGCATCTGATATAGTTTCTTCAATATATATTTAGGGCATGTAGATAGGAATTGGCCCCTAAAATTTAGTTCTCAACTCTATTCTACTGATGTTTGACATACAGAAATATTTGACATCTGTCAAATTTTAAATTCCACAAATTCACATGGGTGATAGTAAATTATAAATACAAAATGAATATTATAAATCGCACGATATCTATTAGACCAAATCTAAAATTAATTTCTAGGTTTTATTGTGCAAAATCAAAGGATGAAATTGACAAACTAGTGAAGAATAATAAGGTGGTGGTATTTATGAAAGGGGTACCAGAGCAGCCCCAGTGCGGCTTCAGTAATGCAGTTGTACAAATATTAAGAATGCATGGTGTTACTTACGATGCCCACAATGTTTTAGCAGATACTGATCTTAGACAGGGTGAGCAAGATTTTTATTTGAGGAAAATACTTTAAAGTTCTATTAAAATGTACTATACATATTTACATATTCCTATTGAATTTGATATTTAGTGCTATTTTACTCATCTCTGCTACAATTTTTTTGATTTCAGGTATTAAAGATTATTCAAACTGGCCCACTATACCGCAAATCTTCATAAATGGAGAATTTGTAGGTGGATGTGATATAATGCTTCAAATGCATCAGTCTGGTGATTTAATTGAAGAATTAAAGAAGGCAGGTATAAAAAGCGTGCTACTTGACAAACCCAAGGAAGAGAGTGGAAAATGATCATTATTATTGTATATAAGAATTGACTGTTATGTTTAGTTTAGATGATAATAAATATTGAAGTTTTAGTTTTTTTTTAATAATCCTTGTGTGTGGAAGTTAGAATGTACATATTACAAATAAGTAAAGGACTTCATATCAAGACACTACTTTAGCATTGATTCATCACTGTAACAGTTTCAATTGTGTATATATATATATATATATATATATATAATATATATATATATATATAAATATATATATATATATATATATATATATATATATATATATGTATATATCATATTTGGACTTTGTTTTTGTGAAAAGTGAAAATGGTCCAGGAGCAAGTGGTATGTACAAAACTTTGATTTACAACCACAAAATGCAACAAATTTATTCAATCTTACCAAACTAGCCAATTATGAACAATATATTAACCATTCCAATATCAATGATAAGTCCAGTGCAGATATACCATAACCAAATGATTCCAACCCAACAGGATTCAAATAATTCAAAGCCAATAATCATCAAATTCTACCAACTGAAAACAAACTTATAAAAATGAAGAAGATTAAATCCACACTCCCAATGCATACACTAGTGATAATAACCTCATGGGTGATAATATACCTACAACCAAATAACATTACTGGCAAGGCTTTACTGAAAAGAAAGAATGTAAGGAAATAGCATATAAACAATATACATTTCGAACAAATATCAATCTGTTCCAATAGAAGAGAATCAAGAAAGTGATAACACATAAACAACCTCCAATTTTTATATATGTAATTACTAAATACCAGGCCATGGTTGATAATCTCACACAATTAACAAAAGAAGGAACTTACCATACAAAGGCGTTATCTGTAAATACAGCAATTAAAAGAAGAAAGCATATCAAGTACTCATACCAGGTCTCCATTACAACCAAAGTAATTAAACTCGAATTGGAGAATGCAGATCACAAGCTACAAAATGTAATGAATCCTCTGTAAAATAGTATATGAAGTATATTTAACAGGTGAACCAACTTACTGGCCAACAGACCTAAACAAAATACCTGATTGATTAGATTTTGCCTTTACTATCAAATCAAATCTCGATTTGTTGTCAGATTACAGCCCCATTACAGATTACTACTAGGGCGGCTCGCGGCCCAACACACTGCGACCTTTACAGATATATTGTGCTTCCTTTTGCCACTTAAAGCTATTATTAAGCTCCTATTCTGTTAACCACAGCCTTAAGAGGGGTCCTTTAAGTGCTTGTTTAGGTAGGTATTCTGTTCCCGTTCATTCTCTGTACGTTTACGTTCTTGACAAGTTGGGGAAAATCCATAAATTACGTCGTAAAGAATTTGGACTTTTCAATACCCACCACCTTCCTCGTCGTAAAGTAAAGCGTTGTTTTACAGTCAATGCCCTCATGTCGACGTCGCAATTGCAACTCATGGTCCCATTTTCAGTGATTTTTAAAAAAATTCAATATTATTTCTGGATTTTCTAATATAATATATCCATCCACTTTTATAAACTACGACGGTGGTCCATGGTTGGCTATAATCAATCATGCGATCTTGCCAAAGTTTTCGAGGGATAAAAAGCGGAATATGGTTTCCAATTGCGTTGATTGCACAAAAAAGAGTTACTGTTGCTTCACTTTGCCCTGTCGCAATTTTACCAACCTGTTTTTCACCTTTGTATGCAATGATCTTTGGATTATGGTCTAATACCATTGTTTTCAAAAACTGTCTTTAAATTTCCGAAAATTTTTGATACTTTCTGTTGAAGTTAGTTGCTTTAGAAAGACTTTTTGCTTCTGGAGAGCGTAATGATAAGGTCCACATCCTCTTCAGAAAACCATGTAGCCAGTCGTAACGGGCTTGCTTATATTATAATCAGTTATTTTTTTTATTATTCCTTACGGTAAACTCGTACGCCAGTTCCTTTGCTTGTTTGGTTGTAAGGTTATGAATTTGCTGGCAACATCTAAATAATCTTATAACATATTTTCCTCTGCACTTGTAAATATTTGAGCCTTCTTGTAATCATAAGAGAAGGCTATTTCAACATATTTTATTGTACCATTGAGAGACGTATCGTTATTCCGTTCCCTTTTAACCTCTAGCTGTCGATTGATGTTCTTTTCTGGCTCCTTCGCTTCTTTTGTATTCTTCTTCTTGTAGTGCCTATCCGTTTCGGATGTTGGCGACCATCATGGCAATCTGTATTGTGCACACTGACGATCTGAAAAGATTTGTGGTTGTTGTGTTGAACCACGTGCGTAGATTTTTCAGCCAGGAAATCATTCGCCTTCCTTATTCTCGTTTTTCTTGAAGAATTAATTGCAATAACCCATACCTTTCGCTGTTCCTCATTATGTGACCGAGGGTATTCAATTTTGGCTGTTTTATTGTGGTTAACAACCCTTTTTGCATTCCTAATAAAACGTCCTGGTTAGTAACGTGGTCAGGGATATCTTCAGAATTCTACGATAAAGCCACATTTCGAAAGCCTCAATTATTTTCTTACAGGTAGCGTCTATGAGAGTCCACGACTCTACTTTGTACACGGGTATAGGATAGATATATAATATCGTAGTTACCTGATTTTTATGGTTACTGATAAATCGTGGCATTTGAATAGCTTAGCCATTTTTTAAAATGCAGATCTTGCTTTCTTTATCCTAGATTTTATTTATAGAGAATGGTCCCAATTTTCATTGACGTTCGTACCAAGGTAGGTGTATATTTTTACTCATTTTATTGGTTGACGATTCACACTGATTTTTTCAATTTGCTGTTCCTTCTTAGATCATCATACATTTTATTTTCTTAATGTTCAGTGAAACTCCATATCTCTGACTCACTTCTGTGATTCATTTCATTAATTAATTCCTGCAGTGCTTCATAACTGTCAGCGAATACCAACGTGTCATCCGCGTATCTGATGTTGTTGATACATTCTCCGTTAATTCGAATTCCGGCTTCAACATCTTCTACTGCTTCTTGAAATATTTCCTCAGAGTATATTGTTACGATTTTAAATATTATTGCGTATAAAACTGTAAATACATTATGACTAATCACGTATTTTCTAGATCACGCACCGGCCGAGACGCAGGTAAAAAACCTACCTGACCCTATGGGTCCCCCTTCGATATGAAAGCGGTCAACTACTACTCGATCTTTCTGGAAAGATGCCGCTATAAAAAAACCAGTTCTAGACTATTCAGGTCAACTTCCGTCTACTTCACGCCAGATCCTTCCAGATAACGGCGTTTCAAATAAATAACAGCGATTCTCATTCGGAGAGTCAGTCAAAGAGAAGATCGCGATCTCGCGTTAAATTGTATCGAACGCAAATAAATTATTTGTAATTATTAAGTGTAAAATAAATTAGTATAAAATAAAGACTTTTGATAAATTATCGTGAGTTTTAATAAATTAGAATAAAGACAATAAATTAGGACTAATAAAATATAGTATACATTCCTGACGGACCCCACGTTTAATTTTAATATCATCGTATTCTCCTGCCTCTGTACGGATAGACGATGTTTGATTCCAGTAAAGATTGCTAATCATTCTTAGATGTGTAGACAGGTGTTTATTCCAATATTTGTCAGTGAAGCATGCATAAATATCGAAATTCACATCTCTACATCGTTGAAATAGCACTTGTATTCCAAAGAGAGCCTATCTGAAACCCACTGCGTTCCGAAAACCAAATTGTGTATGGCTGATTTTTCTTCGCATAGTCTATATATCATTTTATGTATTATTTTTAGAAATAAATTTTAAACGTGACTCATTAATGATGGTCCGGAAATCATTGCTGGATACGGATTTTATTTTCTTTGGTAGAGCAATAAAAGTTTACTACAGCTACGATCTTGGTATTACTCCGTTTAAATATATGCCATTCAATATTTTTGTTACCCATTGAGTACCGTCGGTGTTAAATAGCTTTATGAGTTCAGCATGTGCATTGTCAGGTCCAGGAGCTTTGTGATATTGCTCTTTCCACTTCATCTGATGTGAAGGTAAGTGGTAATTACATATGTAGGACGGTAGTTGTTCGGACCTATTATCATCAAAGAGATCTTATATGTATTTGGCCCATATGCATATTTCTAAATTTTTATTTGTGATGATGCGCCCTGTGATGGTGTATTAACGTGGCATATCTAAAAAATAAAAAACACTCATCTATAAGGAGTTTCTGGAAGACTTGATCCCGGTATCACATCTTGCATTGCAAACTACGCAAAACTTTAACTGGATGATCGTCTTCTTCTTTTTATATAGACATAACTCTGTCTGTTTTTTAATGTGCTTCCAGTAAGTTGTTCCATCGTTTTCGTAGTCTTCCTACTGATCGTCTTCCTATTGGGGAACCGTATCTTGCCGTCTTTACTACTCTATTTGTTGTTATTCGTCTTATATGATCGTTCCATTCTACTCTTCTATTTCTTACCCAATTCTTGATGTTCTCCACCTTGCATCTAAGTCGTATATCTGTATTTTTAGCTCTGTCCCATATGTGTCTCACCATCAATTTTTTTAAGTGTTTTCAACTCTGCTGTTTCCAACATCCTTTTTGTCCTCTCTGTGCCACGTCTTGTTTCTGCCGCGTATGTATGTTATTATTGATCTGATGACTGTTTTGTAAATTCTGCCTTTCGTTTCTTTCCCGATATTTTTATTTCTCCGTATTGTTTCATTCAGGCAGCCTTCGGCTCTGTTTGCTCTATTCACTTGATCTTCCACTTCAATTTCGAGCTTTCCGTAGCTAGATAATGTGATGCCTCGATATTTAAATTTTCATCACTTGTTCTATTATCTGACCTTCCAGTTCCAATTTACACCTTAGTAAATTTGCTGTTGTAACCATGCTTTTGTCTTTTTTGCAGCATACGTTGTAAATCATCTTCACTTTGAGAGAGTAGTATTGCGTCGTCTGTATAGCAGATTATTTAAAGTTGTTTTTCTCCCATTTTTTATTTTATTTTTATTCCATTGCGAGCTCAATAGGGTCGATTAGTTCTTCTTCTACTTTTATTTTGTTGTTTTGGT